GTTGCCGCATACTTCTATTCCCTCATTACTAGGGCTGTACCGAATAGTGATTTTTTTCTATTTGGCTGAATACGAATAGCGGGGCCAACTATTTGGCCGAATACGAATAGTGTATTATCATCATCAGGTGCCTTGCCGACTGGCGTGGGCGATTATGCCTCGCCACAATCTGCAATCTCATGCAGCATGTATTAGTTTGTGTGCTGACACACCTCAATGCCATGCAACAAGACTGTCAAGAATCTTCTCTCGTTGTCTTCCTCTACCCCTCCTTCCACAGATCTTTCCAGTGGTCACCACGTGTCCATTTTCCCTCTTCTCTTAACATGGCTGAAAAATGATGACTTTCTCCTTCTGATGTCTGTGATTAGTAGTCTTCGGGTTCCCGCCTCTTTCAAAACCTCTTGGTTGCTTTTGTGTGTGTGTGTGGCTGTCCAGGGTATTTTAAGCATTGTTCTGTAAAACCACATCTCTGAGGCCTCCAGAAATTGTTTGGCCTGCCTAACGATTGTCCAGGACTCACAGCCATGTGTTAAACCCCAATGTATGTAGCAAGCAAGAAATTCTTTTTTTCTAACCTTCAATGACAAAGATATATTGCATAAGATGTTCTTCATTTTATAAAATGCAGTGTCCTATTCTGTTTCTTATTTCAGTAATGCATCTTCCATCTGATGTTTTCCATGTGCCCAGATACTAAAATTTCTGTACTTGTCCCAAAATAAAACTATTTACTTTTTTTACACATTTAGGAATAATTCATTTCTTTGTTACCACCATTACTTCTGTCTCCCCACTATTCAAACTGAGGCCTATTCTTCCACTTTCGAATAGCGTATAAAATAAATCTAAAAAAACATTAATAATGTCAAATGTACGCTGAAATTTTACTTCACAAAATGTAGTACAGAATAGTAAATATTTGAAAACATTTTTTGTTTTGCATCCTTCAGTCAGTCAGTCTGTGGTAACTAATACCTAGGAAAGAAAGTATTCTTAGTTTTATAACAAGTAACTAAACTTTTAAATTGTCACTGACAGCTTTGTTAATGCACGAAAGCAACTTCGGCAACAGCAACTATCGCAGTGTATGCAGAAATGGGTGTAAGGTAACCACTATTCATATTCGGCCCGGCGGCAAGTATTCGGCCGAATACCGCAGTTATTAGGTCCACTATTTGGCCCCGAAGCGAATATTCTGTACAGCCCTACTCATTACTGCCTGCATGCATTTATCACTGTCAGGGAAGTATACGACCGGGAGGGGGGGCGGGGCTTAAGGATTTAAGGCCCTGTAGCTAGTGCAGTTGCTATAAAATATGTAGATTAGACATTTTATATTTCTATTTTTTAACTAGCGTATTTTACATTAAACAGTTTGCCATTGCTTTCGAAATTGCTGGCACCCATGCCATTTTTTAAAACATCGCAAAGTAGTCTGCTACAAAATCACCTTCAGCTGAGTCGAACTTGGTATTCCAGAATTATAAACCATGTTTGCAACCTAGAAGCTACAGAAACAGACACATTCCTCCATTGTGTGTTTATATTGACTCAGACAAAAATTTTCCGTGGTATGGTTTTGGAAAGACTGGTGGATCTTAGTACATGTCTTCACTATAACAATTAAAGGTTGTTTCCATGTGGGTTCCGGGACACAGAATAAACCTACTAACCCCCCCCCCCCCCCCTTCCTCAACAGGCATATTATAGGAGGGGATTAATTAGGGATCTTTCCTTAGAAGTCAGACTGCGACGACCTGAGAGACATAAAACCAACAGTCTGCATACAAATGTGACAGATCTGTTTAAAACACAAAAACTTAGGTTCTGTATCCAAACCAAAGTCCAGAAGTAGATGAACAACCGTAACTTCCAGAGTTATGTTTTTGGCATCTTATCTAGAGGGCAGTAGAAGAGAAATGATTGGGCCAGTCACAAATGAAGCACCTCTTTGGCTTCATAGTTCATCAAGAATATGTTGTTAGACTCGTAGTTTGATAAACCATCTGGCACTTAATGTTGTCAATATCAAACCAGCTGCCTTTACTTTCTAGGACATTTCCTAACACCATTTCTAATAATCTGCCTCATTGGTGTGAAGTAAAGGTCTCTTTTTCACACCTTTAGGCGTATAGGGCTAGACCTATATTTTTATAGACCAATCGGCACAAGATGTGGTCAGCATCACGCTGGCCTCCTTTACTTCCTGGGATTGGTTCACTCATGCCTGGTGACACTTCGGCAGAGACAGCTTTCTGATGGACTACAGGGGGATTAAAGAGACGCGGGCGAATTAACTAAATCTGGAGGTCAGTGAAAGAACAATAAAGACATGTAAGCTGAACAGGATACCATGAGCATGAAAGCAACAGAGTGGCATGAGTGGTGATAACTTGTGAGTGCTAGTAGTCTTAAAAACTTGTGAGTGCTAGTAGTGGTGATAACTTGTGAGTGCTAGTAGTGGTGATAACTTGTGAGTGCTAGTAGTGGTGATAACTTGTGAGTGCTAGTAGTGGTGATAACGTGTGAGTGCTAGCAGTTGTAACTTTGAGTGCTAGTAGTGGTGATAACTTGTGAGTGCTAGTAGTGGTGATAACTTGTGAGTGCTAGAAGTGGTGATAACTTGTGAGTGCTAGAAGTGGTGATAACTTGTGAGTGCTAGTAGTGGTGATAACTTGTGAATGCTAGTAGTGGTGTTAACTTGTGAGTGCTATAAGTGTCAACAGTGCCATGAAGAGGATACAGAAAGACTATTATGGTGGTCTAACTATCTGGAGAGCAGCCGTTTTTCTTGCTGAGAATGTCACACAAAAGCTAAATCTAATCCAGCGATGACCCCTGTGATTCTCCAACACAGCTGCACGCATGAACTAAAAGATTTTTTTTAAAACAAACTGCACTTCCTACATGAATTTACCGCCTTATGGTAAATAAGTTATACATGTTTCAGCAAATGCAGAAATAGAGCCTCAAAACACTTTCATTTTAAAATGCCTTTTGCACAGCTCTTTTCTACACTGCATAATTGTGAATTATGAATGGAAACCCAAAATGGTCAAAATTTACAATTTTCATTTTGGTCCCTCCCCTCAAGCCCTCATGGCTAGTGCAGTCACCATGAACTGTGCATGTAACGATTGTTTATACTGTTGTCCTCACAGAATAAAATCACCTTCCTGTACTGAGGAACAAACTCCAATCTCCTGCCTGGGAATACAGTGCCATAACCACTCGGCCAACTGCCGTTCATAAAGCATCAAGTCTGAAATTGATCGCACACACTATAGAGCATGAAGTAAATGGCTTAAACTCTTCACTACAGTGACCTCCAATTTTAAAGATCATTGCAACTGAATAACAAAAATGTTGGATATAACAAATTGTATTGTGAAAATAAAACATTATTTTAACAGAATGTGAACAAAGAACAGTTCAGGAAAATAAAACTGAACAGAAAATATTCAAAACTAACAAAAGGTTTGAACTGCTGTCTGTGTCTCTTTTAGTCTCAACGGTTTGTAAATGTAACACTTTCTGTCCCAAAAAGTTGAACTTAAAAGCAATAAATAAGCAAAGAAACCATTAAGTCTGAATCAAGAGGTTAAAACAAGACCTATCTGACAGAAACGGCAAGCACATAATACTGTCTGTGAAATTACCAAGAAATAGTTGTTTATAACTGGAAGAGTTAAAGACACTCTTATCACTGCAAACAGTATTTCAATTTGCTACGTGTAAACTGGAATTATGAACACTAGAAACTATCTTGAATTCATATGAGTTGAGTTGATTCAAGAACGGACATCACAGCACTCGGGGGCATTTCCATAAGCGCTCCGTCCCCATCTTCAGCAGCCATTGAAGAGTTGCGATACTAATAGTGCCAGTAGCATTCTAATTAAAAGTCTGTTTTGCCTTTCTTCTGAGCCACAAACTCAGTATTACAAACACTTTTGTTCCTCCAGCCACCCTTGTGAGTACCTGCAGGTGTGTACCCTGAGATTACACAATCTCAGTCTGGATGACAAACCAGCAGAGAAAATCTCTAATACCCAGTTCAGTCTCCAAAGAAGTTATAACTGGGCAACAGTAACGACTACATTTTATTTTTCCAACTTTTATTTGAATTAAAAATTCAGTTTCACATACTAAAATTACATGATGTAGTGAACAACACATCAATGGCATTCTAAATACAGGACATACATGTTTGCAAAACACAGATGTCTACTCCTCCCCGTCTTACTCTTTCTTTCCATTTGCCTGTTAAACATGTTATGATTCTGATACATGATGTTAAACCCCACCAGGACATCACACTTGAGCGATAAACTAAACGCCCGGTGACACAAAATACCACTATTCGGATGAGGATCACCCCAGGGACAGGTCTCAGAAACCACATTCAACCGTAAGGCTATATTAGGGCCCCTGACCACAGCCAGGGTGGGGCTTTAAAACAACAAAAATGTGCATCCCATATTGGGACGGTGGTTAAAATGTATGTAATGATTCTGACTGACTTTCTACCCCACCAGGACATCACACAAGCGATAAACACCCAATGACACAAAGTGCCACCATGTAGATAAGGATCACCGTAGAGAGGTTCCAGAAACTGCGTTTAGCCATTAGGCCATATTTATGACCGGGCTATATTGCGGCCCCTGGCATGGGCCAGGGTAGGTCTTCAAATAACGAAAAATTGCACCCTAAAAAGGACGGCAAGATTAAAATCAAGTAATGATTCTCAACACTACAATTTAGATGGAAACAATCTTTTGAATATCAATTTGTTACACAATTTGATATAATAAATAAAAACACTCTTGTACCTAATTTCAAACAAGTTTAATAAAATGTGGAACAAAAGACACTAGTTTGCTATAAATCAAGTGGCTGATATGTAAATGCTTTAAATCAACCTATAACACTAAATTATAAGCTTGTTATATGTTTCCTCAATAAATGCATTCGCTTCCTGGTCTGTAAGGGACTCAATCTAGGATGGATCGCGACTTGCCTATGTTAATACCAGACTGGTTAGCTCCCTTGTTTGTGCCATATTGCAGACTGACAGCATTCTTTGCCTCTGCCAGTTGCTCTTCGGTGAAGTGTCGCTCATGTTTCTCCGCCATCTTTGGGCCAAGAACGGGCCCTGTGTAATCTGGTCTTGTCTGAGCCTATAAAAAATACATTGTAAATTAAGTATTTGCTCACATATGATTGCGGGGCAGAAAAGTATTTTAAGGCATGATTCCCTGTGGTCGACGCTGTCTGGAAATGTTAGACCGGAAGAGATGGGAAGTTCAGACACCGTCTCAGTCACCATGAATCTTTTTTTTTTTTTTTTTAAATAAAAAAAATAAATAATAACTATTAAAACAGTTCTCAAAGAAAAATGAATCAAAGTGACACATACAGCATCACAGCAGTGACCAACAACAGTCGTTAGTGTACATTATCTGCCTCACCGCCACCCTCCGACCCATTTTTCACCCCTGTCCTCCTAACAATGGGGTGCCTGTTTGAATGTCTACTTCAACCTTAGATGACGATTCCACATGTACGCTTGCTAGCTAACTTTCTATTTGCCTACGTCACTAGTACAATACAACTTGCAGACGCTTTAACAAAAATCCACTGGCTTGGATTTCATGAGATCATAGCCCTCCGGGCGGCGTCCGTGGCTTAGGCGTTGCGAGTCCGACTCGTAATTCCAACGTACCGCGATCGAAACCTACTGCTGGCTGCGTGGATTTTTATCATGGTATGCGCAGGTAGACCCAGCCTAAAATGGGTACCAGGATGGCTGTCCTGGGGAAGGAAAGGCGGCCGGCGTAATGCTGACCACATTAGCCACCTTCTATGCTCTTCCCATATGCCCTTTGCGCCTAAGGCGTAAAAAGGGATCTTTACTTTACTTACTTATAGCCCGCCGGAACATTTGTGTACAAGTGGGCGCCAAAAGACAATTTTACAAATGTATCATATAATTCAGCAGTACTGTTGCTAAAGACGTTTACTAATAAGCAACATTAAATGCTTTATAGAATCAGTGAAGAAATAGCTTACAATCATATTAAAAGTAAGGAGTGTAACAGATCTTTTTTTTTTTAAACGATAGTGGTGCATTTGGGTATACGACGCTAGACTTATATTTGTATAGACCAATCGGCTTTTGGCAGGTTATGTGGTCAACATTTTGTCGGCTGCCTTTTCTTCCCGGGGCATTTCCTGGCACCCATTTTAGGCTGGGTCCAACTGGGAGCCGACGTCAGTTTTTTTTTTTAAATCCACCCTGTCGCGGATTCGAATCCACGACCTTCAGTCCGGCAGACGAGCTTCTACTATGCTATCATGCAATCTGACAACCTACTGCACTAACTGCACTATTCTGAGGACAGTGCGTCCAAATCGCAGTTAAGAATGAGAGATTTGGGAGTAAAGTGAGGCACGAGAGACAGTGACTCAATGAGTATGCACAGGAAGAGATGTGCTGAGTGCGAAGACAGTGGTTGGTGTCTCCCAGGCAGTCGGCGCTGACAGATACCTGTTTCACTTTCGTGCCAGGGCATGCAGGTGTGCAAGGAAAGGAGCAAGCTCACCCGGCTCTCAATGTAAGGCTGCTGTAATGGCGGACGAGCCATACAACAGGCTGATATACTGAATTTCTACGAGAAGTAAGACGTTTGCGAGAACCAAGGGACTGTGAAAATGCAGACATGACAAGACTGCAAGAACAGCAAGTTAAAAGGGGTGTGGCCAGACGAGCACAATGCAGGAAGCGAAAGAAGAATACGATACCAACACATGACTGGTGTCTTCAGCCGGTCTACGCTGCGGGATTTACTGAGGAGGGGATCTGAGCACTTATGGACTGAATGGTTTGATGTGCAATGAGGATAATATGTCGACTAAGTAACTAAGTAACTGACTAAGTGACTAACGACAGGCACATCAGACAGTGAGAGGTCTTGTTAGATAGCACAGGACTGTTAACATTAGCCGCTTGAAACTGGTATATATGTTGAGGGAAGGAAAGTATGAGTGCGTTCTGAAGTGACCAGAGTGCTTTGGAGAAACACAATTCCTATCGCAGTACTGGACTTACCACTCTGGCTAAGGCATGGATGCACAGTGTCACTTGAGGGATATTCTTCTTCTCCCAGAGATCCACCGTCTGGAAGACCTCGTTGATGGGCAACCCCCACTGCTTGGCTGCATTCTGTGGCGAGATTATGAAATTAGTCTCATTCATCTGACACTTCAGCTTTCAATATCATCACATTGTTTTGATTTAGTTTCATAAGGATATGTTTGTTTATATAAACCTAAATGTGATAGGATCGCTCTGGGGTCTGAAGTCTCACGGGGATATAAAAAATAGACACAAAACCATTTAAACAAAACGTGTAAAAGGGTTTTCTTAAATTGGATGTGTTGGGTAGAAAGGCGCAGATATCGCAGTCTAGTTGTACACAGCTTGATAAACTCCTTTAAGGGAGAACGCAGAAGAGGAAGGAGAAGATGATGATGACGAGATAGAAATGTTAAAGACAGATTCGTAGTGTCAAGAAAAAAAGATGAAGAAAAGGAAAAATGCTGGCATTTTTTAACCTCTGAATGTCGAGGCCGAGACAGTATTATCATTCAGACAGTATTGTCGCTGGTAAAGCGGCCACAGCAAGGACCATAATGGTTAGGAGAGAACAGTAATACATATCGTATATGGTATTGTTACTAGACGAAGATGCTGAGGTCGATCAGTACAACGTGTTAAGCCCAAAATGTCAAGAAAAGATTGAGCATGGAAGTACTAGAGGTAGGACAGTTGACAGAGTGGTTCTCTGGCTTCCCATGATGAGAGCGACGTTCAGCAACACGATGTTTATTTATAAGAACCGGACAGTGACTAGTGCAGAGACAGTGGTCCATGGTTTAATCTCTAGCGGTGGTAGGATGCCCCCCGTCTTCCTCCTCACCCTCACTTATACAGCTCTAATTAGTGATTAGTGATCAGAAAGGTTTATCATCACAGCACTCCGAACAGATCCATAGATGCTCCGATCTCCTCCTCAAAAGCTGCACAAGTGTAAAACGACTGATGACGCCTGTTCTGTGTTGGTTAATGAAACGTCTTGTCCTCTTAGACAAATATACATTTCTTGCAGCTCCCGGCTGCACTCCTATGTCCATCAGTCTAGACAGGGATATGGAGTCATGTCCTTTGACGTTCTCCTCAGTACGGTAAGTGCAGAGCATGGCATTGATAACATCACTTCTGTCCAGTACTGGCCAGTCATAGCAACTGCAGTGTCAGCAAGATAACATGCACTCTCGTTCCCTTTAACACCCTCATGACCTGGCACAAAGATGAAGGTTAGGGCAGCCCTAATTCTTACATTTTATCAGTACCTGATTATTTACCCTGTTGACTGACAGAGTTTATAAAATAAAAATAAAAAGTCACACATGAAACTGTTTTGCCATCTGACGAGATGCAAAATCAGACAGTGACTGGTACCATCGGAATTGGGGATCTACGCTTGCTGCTGAAGATGGAAACGCAGCGCTTATGAGAGTGTTTCGAGTGTTGTAGTCTCAATTCTTGATTCAACATTTAACATTCGAGAATACAATTTAAAAAATACACGCATGTTTAAAAAACCTGCACACAATAATTATTACAATGAAAAGATGCACACAGTTTCTCATATAGTTCATTGGAAACGAGATAATTCTCTTTACGAAATGCATCTACAATTCATAAATAATAAAATATCAAACTCTATATCATCATCAATCGGCAAGTCCTTTACAGAACGTTTCGTTGCTCTATTCACGACAAACCTGAAAGTATAACTTCCCTAGCCAGCTCTCCGGCCCCTTGTGCTTTCAATGCCAATGCATCTTCAGTGTCTTGTATCCATCTTCGCGGTGGTCAACCCCTGCCTCGCCTTCCACAAACTACACCTTCCTTCCATTGCCGTCTTTTCCAAGCCACCATAACGCTTGATGTGGCCAAAATACTTCAACTTTCAGGACAGGATCCTGTTTATGAGTCAGTTCTCCTTTATGTTCAACTCGTTCAGAATGTCGATGTTTTTCCTCTTCCTGATCCATGGTTTTCTCAGAATGTTTCTATAACATTTCAACTGAAAAGCTCTAATATTTTTCCTCAGTGACTGAGTGAGAGTCCAAGACTCACAACCGTAAGCTGCCACAGGAAAAATGCACGATCTTGAGATATTTACTAGTGCTTTGCCATAGGTTCTTCATGCTATTTAATCTCTGCATTACTAATACAAGTCTTCTTCTGACTTCTTTTCAGCAGTCGCCACTGCCGTTCACTAAAGAGCCCAAGTATTCGAAATCAAATTCTATATAAAACTCTATAACTGAATTGTCAAAATTATAGGCTTCTATTTGTATATATTTGATTCACTTGATACACACACAACAACTAAGTTAAAACCGATACGTTACTATCAAACCGGGTCCCATTCTGAACGCGAATTTAACAGGAGGATATCAGATAGATTCTGTTTAACCGTTTGAAACAATAATATAATATAGGCAGCCTTCAGTTCTGAAGTCACCTTCTCTTCTGTGGGTTGGGTGATCGCTCGCTTTCCTTGTACAGTTGAATATAAATAAAAAGGTTATAGATCTTAGAATGTTTACCTGAAACCGTTCAATGTTCTGCATAAGGGCAAATCCACTTCCTTTTGTGTCGATCTTTTTTATGCATCCTGGCATCAGTTTGTTCATTAACCTGTGGGTCACACACACAAAAAACACGACAAGGTCGATCAATTGGTTTGTCCCCTCTGGTCTGCTACCTGAAGGTTTCCACAATGAGACTACAAAATCTCAGAGTGGATGGCAGCCCTACAGGGCAGATCGCACATACCCCTTTCAACCTCGAAAAAGGTTATAATTATGGCACACTGCAGTCCTCTGCAGGTAACGATGTTTACAAGGTAAGATTATGCTCTATTTGTAGAGTTTATGGTTGGTCTATAGTCCATTAGTTGCATACCCTTTCATATGCATCATCATGTACCAGAACAATATACGTAGCGGTCAAGCTACACCCTCTCACGCGATCACCAGACTTATGGATCAGGTCACTGCTCTTGTCTCATCCCAGCTGTGCAGGTATTCATCGCTTAATTGTAGATCTGCTCTTGTTTACACCCTTTACATTCCGAACTTTGCAAAGCAACTATATCACTGTTGTGTAGTTTTATGAAGACATTAGCGTTCAGTAGTTTGCCACCGCGTCGTGAACCCGCACGACGCTCTTAAGCAACAGCAAGGAAATTGAAATCAACATTCTGAAAGAATGTATCTTCCCTCCAGCAACATACAGATGCGAGACGTGAACTATCTTGCAGTCCGTATGAAAAAAGATTGGGCTTTTGAGTTTAAATGCTGCACAAAGATCTTTAGAATACCACGAATAAAAAAGAAAAGAAATACATGGGGAAAAAAGATCCGAACATCAAGGAAGATTGGCTGGTAAACAGCATCTTGCCTCGGAAGCTAAAATATTTTGGCCATACGAAGCGCCACGGCCAACTGAAAAATAATAGCAGAAGGCATGGTGCCACGAAAGAGGACAAAGGACGACCAGCACGAAGGGCAGAGAAGTGGTCGAGGCCGGAGAGGTGGTGATATACATCCTTCAGGCAGACAGGGGTGACAGCGACGTTCTGCAAAGGACCTGCTACATGACGATGAGGTTAAATGAAAGAGGATATTAGGGGTGTGAAAAAGGATTGGTGGTGGTGGGGGAGGGGGGGGGGAACGGTGTAATGAGCCTGAAAAAAAATTATGGCCACATTGCTAGTGTAGTCTCTATGGGCTTTGCATGCTGAAGATTATTACTCCTAAGAGATAAACGAAACTGCAGTAGTGATACCGATGAGGATTCGAAGCTGAGTCTCATGAAGCGCTCAAACAAACTTTGTTACCAAATCTATAGAAATACATTACTTCACCGAGAAATTATGCTACAGTGAAAAGTAAAAGATGACCACATTGAATTCAAAGATAATGTAAGATTAAACAAGCACCCGAAAAAAAGAGAGGGGAGTAACCACCGTACAGCCCCTAACTGACATAAGACTGGAATGGAACGAAGCCATGAAAAAAAATGCTGATAGAGACGTCTGGCGATCTCTGGCAAACATCTAGTACACCCCAAGGTAGAAGAGCAGCAACTAAGTAACTAAGTAAGGAAGATTCTAAACAGGAAAGACTACCGTAGATCGCCGTAGGCCCTCTATTTTCGTAGTAAGAAATGCTTAAAGAAATGGAATAAACTGTACAATTAACACTTACTATGAATTATATATCATATGAACACTCAGAATTAGAATTTTTCATTTCCTTACTATAATCATTGTCAGCGTAGAAGGGCATACGACGATGCTCATTTCAATATTATATAACCTCTGATATTAAATGGCATTTGTTCCGTTTATTGAGACACTGCTATCCAGGGGATTACAGAAGTTATTTCAAGTTTGGATGAGCTTTTAATATTTAATGTGTTGTGCATTCGGGAATTTCTGTCGTCAAATAATGCTGATAATGCCATGGCATAGTGTTGTTTTAAATAATTTGTATCTCTCTTAAAGTCGTGAATATCCCCGTTTTACATAAAGATTTTAGACAGAATTTCTAATACATCTACAATGTTATTCTGAAACCGAATCTTCAGTTAGATGGAGCCTAGGTGGCGTGGCTGAAGCGCCTCTGTGTCTGTCCCTGACTCAGACATGAATGGGTTCGTTTCCAGCATAGAGGTGAACATTTCTACAAGAACCATTGAATTCTAATATCACATTTTCTCCTGATCATATCGTTTGTAAGACTAAATACCAACTCACCACGGATAAGGGCGATATACAAAAATCTTCGTGTACACGCTTCCAAAGTTTGAATTTCTTCTCGAATTATAAATCGCATAACAGACAGGCACTCGGACATAATAATAACTTTTGGAGGTTAGTATCAGATCATGTTAGCAAATGTATATAGATATAACACTACCACTACAAAAGAAAGATAAGTTATCGCTAGGAAGTTTGTAGAAGTCAAAACAAATTAAAACTAGTAACAAATTTGGCCCTCTAATGTCAAATCAGAAATGTTGTATGAAACTGAAACATAAACATGGAGAGAAAAAAAAACCCCAATTACAGCAGACTCAGCAATGTCCGCCGAATGTAGGCCTGGTAACAAAACAACAAATATGTCGGAGTTCTGCAAACACTGAGTTTCTACGCCACAAATATAATTAGAAAACAACGTTTTTATACCACAACCAGCTCTTAATAATATTTTCTGACTGACCTCTTACTACAGATTAGTACTGTATAAACGTTTCTTATCTATTGAACTGTACGTTTTTAACATGTATTACTTTTCAATTTCTACTCCATTTATCTTCCATTCTCCAACTGTAGTTTTCCCGCCTCCTGTCTCCGAAGCAATAGTTGTTACCGTTAGCCCGGAGTCAAGTCGCATTGTAGTGCGTACTTTCTCCCACAATGTGACTACAACCTTTAATCGTTAGCCATCCATTTCGCAGTCTTTTGGTTTTTAACAACAATTTGAGACAGCAACCAGGAAGTAAACGTACTCTGTCTGCACTGTTGAAATCCGACACATATCTGACGAGATAAAGATAGAGGTTGGGTGGTAATCCGCCGTCTAAGCTTTATGCACGCTTGCAACGACTTGGCAAAGTGATGTTTTTTATTTTATTACCAAGGCTGTTTTAAATCGGTTACACAGAGTCCGAATAATCACGAACCGGATAAACGAGGTTCTACTGTATTGATAAACTTACAAACATTTGTTAAACGGTGCCTACACATAACTCTTACACGGTATTATTGAAACCCTAATGTACAGCTTTGGAAGAAAACTAAGTAAATTCCAGTGAATCAAGAGGTGTGAACTTATCATTACAAAGGATAGGACGATGGCGCATATACTCCACTGGCAAAATAAACACAAATGTATGTGAATTTGTCTCTAGGATATAAAGAAACACCTTACTTGCAGAGTCTAATCATGTGAATTTGTCTCTAGGATTTAAAGAAACACCTTACTTGCAGAGTCTAATCATGTGAATTTGTCTCTAGGATATATAGAAACACCTTACTTGCAGAGTCTAATCATGTGAATTTGTCTCTAGGATACAAAGAAACACCTTACTTGCAGAGTATAATCATGTGAATTTGTCTCTAGGATTTAAAGAAACACCTTACTTGCAGAGTGTAATCATGTGAATTTGTCTCTAGGATATAAAGAAACACCTTACTTGCAGAGTCTCAATCATGTAAAGAAACATTTGTCTCTAGGATAGATAAAAAACACCTTACTTGCAGAGTCTAATCATGTGAATTTGTCTCTAGGATACAAAGAAACACCTCTAGGTATAACATGTGAAGTCTCTAGGATACAAAGAAACACCTTACTTGCAGAGTATAATCATGTGAATTTGTCTCTAGGATATAAAGAAACACCTTACTTGCAGAGTATAATCATGTGAATTTGTCTACTAGCAGAGTATAATCATGTGAATTTGTCTCTAGGATTTAAAGAAACACCTTACTTGCAGAGTATAATCATGTGAATTTGTCTCTAGGATATAAAGAAACACCTTACTTGCAGAGTATAATCCCATCTCTCAAGAGATCATCATAGGGGGTAGTCCTGCTCACTGGCTCGCCCAGGTTGGCCTCGATCCAGTCCAACGCCTGGGCTTCCAACTCCGGATCTCTCTGAAAAGACAAGGAAAGGGGCTTTGCTCAACAGCCGGTGGTCACCATGTATGGATCAGCGGTAAAGACATATAAGACTCAAGAAATAGGGAGGGGAAGGGTGTGATCATTTTGTTTAATGCAACAACAAAAATCGCAGTATGTAAAATCTGAGCCGCGTAAGCGCAGTTGATAGAAGCTCGCTTTCAAATCCAGCTGCGACTCTCTGCTGCCCAATGTCGGCGTTCGAAACCGGGCGGCTCCCGGGGTTCACCTAGCCTCTAGGAAATGGGTACCAGAGTGATACTCTGGGGTAAATGGAGGAACGTCGCTGTAGCTACAGAGTTACGTGCGAACGGCGACACAGGCGGACAATTCTTATCGGCTCTCCGTACTGGTGGCAGAGCACTTATGGTTTATAACCGTGTGCAATGACGCTGGTTCACATCTCCCGACTTTACCGTTACCTTTTACCTATGTAAAATTCACAACAAATTTTAAACAGTAAATATTTATTTTACATTAAAATTTGCTTAGCTTAACATTTAACATTTGTTGTTGGTTTAAACTAAAACGACTACAAAAACTTCACATCAAAAGAAGTGTCGCCAAATATTTCGAACACCACAGAGATAGCCAAAGAGGAATAGTAAACCAACACAGAAATGGTGTTATCAGTTTTCACACGCTGCGAGTTATAGTGAAGATGGGATCCCAGCGCTTATAGACTTGTAGGATGTGATCATCTTCATGGAGCTCCCAGTGTGGGTTCCGGGGCCCAGTTTTAGGGAAAACTAGAATAGACCCACTGCCTACCCAACAAGCATGTCGCAAGAGTCGACTAATTGGGAGCTTCCTTTAAAGTCGGCGTGCATCTGCCTGAGAGGCAGGGAACCAGCAGTCTGCATACAAATGCGTCAGCTCTGTAAAACAGATGCACATGCAATACTCAAAGTTCTGGAACAGAACCGCTTTCCAGAAGTGGATGAACAACCAGAACTTTCCGCCAGAGTTTACAGCTGGTGAACGCGAATGAATGAAATAATAATCTTCATGGAGCACATCTTTGGCTGCCAGTCGCTTTGATCACCGAACGCCGGAACGTCCTCTGATCTTCTTCCAACATTTCCGTCTCGAGATTTTGCACACCCAGGCTATCCCTAACATCCAGTGTCCACCATAGTACTGATTTATCCCTGCCTCTCCTTTC